TACACAATGAATTTAAGAGGATTTGGAAGAAAGGAGTCGTGGCCCAGCTGGAAGTGCTACCCTGATATTCTTCTGGAGTGACTAAGGAAATCCACGGAAAACATCAATCAGGGCAGCCAGTTCCTTCGTTGAAGTTTGAAGCCGGTACTTTCCAAATACTAAGCACGAGTTGTAGCCCCCAAAACTCATTTAAACAGCCGTCCTTGCCTGTCTCGTTTATAGCCCAACCATAAAAAGCAATTTGCCCGACGAGGCAATGTGCTGAAATTGTGAGTCAATGGTTATAGATCGAATCGTTAAGGTTTCTTGTCTTCAATAAATTTGTCAGATATAACAGCGAAGGTTCACAACGCCATTATATTTGTAGTTGTTTACTTATAAATAATATTTCGCACAAAATTCGGGGCTTATTTATAATCTATCTTCAAAATTCGGGACTTATTCATAATCTGTCTTCATACTCTCACGTGTTGGAGGGGTACGAGTGACGAAAATAATTTTGGGTTCTATTTTTGATGGTTTGATTTGCTGGACATTTCCATTACAATTACACTTGACTACAGTAGTTCACAATTTAACTCCTTCTTGATAACGAAAATCTCTCACTGTTTTCTGGGTCTTACACTTGTATCTAGCCTCCAGTCATCTACTTGAACTCTCAGCTGCGAACCGCATATCAATCTCCTACTAGTCTCAGTCAGATTTACTTTACGATTGGCGGTTTACCGCCAATCAGTTCGTCTTGGCGCCAGACCCCTTGAGGATCACGACCAGATATATTTTTCTAACTGAACTCTTGCGGTAATAGTCCCTATGTAACATCCTCTCTGACGAGAAGATGAGTTTCTCCCTTATCAATATGCTTAGCTTTTCATCAAGTGTATATTTCGCACATATAACATGTTAGTGAAAATTCTTCCTTTTGCACTACACACAAGTCCTCTCTCAGTACAGGCTTCACATAGTAGATCATGCCTAACTTATATGTCTTATGCTACAACGGCAGCTTAGCCAGTTGAACAGTCGTAAGCTTGACCACCGCCAAGTTTTAGTCTTTACGCAATATTCCTTTTTATAGCCGTTAGGTGGTGGTGGTAGAAGACACCGCCTTGAAGGATTTTTTCTGTTCTTTGAGGTCGTGTTCTTTTTTTGGGAACCATTGTAATTACCATACTAACCAAGACTGCTGCCGTGTGTTTGTTTACAGCATAACCCTCGGAAAGTGTGTAGCCAGTCATTACCTAGCAATGGTCGTCTGTTTCTAACTTCAATGCGGAAATGCTGTTTACGTAGCTGTTAGCTAGCAATGGATAATTGCTTCGATATCGATCAGGTTTTCAGCCTTCACGTCACACTACTAAATTTCATATTCCTAATCTCAAATATAACCGTTGCTAGAATGAGATTCAAATGAAATTTTCGGCGTCAATAATGTACACTATTGTATCACTGTCTGCATTCCAAGAGACCTGCTTTTAACAAAACTCATTAATTTTCGGAATATTAATTGGAATGCAAAAGTCAAGACCCTGCATTAAATGGCACTACTGCCGCTCCCACCGCACAAGTTCGTACGCCCGTCATGTTGCCGTTATTTCTCTTTATAACGAATTAAAATTATTGAGCTGGCTTCTAATTGCATAATACTTATGGTAAATTTAATGAAACTTGGTGAATTCATTCAAAAGTTCAACGACGGGAAACAGCATGGCGTTATAAGCCGAAAGCGAACTGTTCTTTATTCTTAAGGAACAGGTAGGTTAAAATAAGGAGATGCGTTAAAGTCTGGATGGTTTATTCCAGCTAAAATCAGTGTAACAGATGCATTCAAATTACGCATCCCAAAAATTTTTAGGTTCGAAAATTATGTAATCCTGCACGTAACTTAATCACGTGACGGAGATTCAGATATGTGTGAAGCAGGGATTCCCACTACCCACTGAAAGGGTGCAATCGCTGCCCTGGTTTCCTGTAACACTCACTGTTCTGACATCTGTCGGCTTTCTGTTAATTTCTCTTTGAAAGAAACATCTTTCGAAATATATACTTCACATCACAATTACAAAATTCTTGCGTCAGTTTAAATATAGATATGTTATAACTTACTGAAATTTTCAAATAGAAAGACAATACTTAAACTTAAGTTGCTATAATAGAAATTATACCCTTTTAATGATCACAGGTTCATGAATGATCTAGGTCTATGTATGTTGTGTAAAAATATTGTGACGCATTGCTAGGTAACGGCTCAGTAAACACGTTAACTTATGAGAGGTGACGTCAAGCAACAGTAGAAAAAAGGCGTTTTCTCTGTGGTTTGTGCCATGCAACAATAGAGGGCTGTGTTTTCTGTGAGTGGTCCGAATCGAGAGGATATAAGAGGACACAGAAATGGGAAATTAGTGTAACCAGTGTGGAGGTGGGGTCGAATACCTCCGCCGTGACCCTGCGAGTGGTAGGAGATGACGGAAAGGGAAGCCTCAAATCTGAGACAGTTAAGTATGGTCGTGAGTCCCAAGAGACCCAACAAAAACTGCGCTAGCAAGGGCCAGCAACATGTACAAATGACAGACCCGTCCTCTCCTCAGAGAGGGCGTCCCACAAAAGAAAAGAAAAAAACAAACAAACAAGAACGTAACTGTCAAACAGTAATAACTATCTGGTCGTGAGCTTCAGATGTGGTTCGACACCAAAACTCACCGTCAATCGCAATGTGATTTTGACTTTGACATGAGTTTTGGAAATGTGAGCGATTAAACACTAATATTAATTTGAACCTCCACAAAGCTTTCATTAGATCTGTAATGACTTATGCTAGTCCTGCCTGGGAATTCGCGGCAGGTACCCGTCTGGTGAATTTGCAGCGCCTAAAGAACAAGATTCTCCGCATCATTAGAAATTTTCCAAGGCACACACAGGTTCGCGATTTACACATGGCTTTCAAAATTCCGAATATGTGTGATTATATAAAAAATTATGCAGACTACAAGCGGAAGTCATACAAAATCATGATAACGAAAATTTTCGCAATATTGGACAAGGCGGAGTCCGACATAGAAGTATAAGAGGCTTTCAATTGGCGGCGGTCAAGCACACGACCGTTCAAGTGACTAGACTGCCGTTGTAGCAGAAGCTACTAAAAGTAGGGCATAATCTGCTGTACTGAGCCTGGATTGACAGAGGCCCTGTACATATTATATATACATTTTTTTAAAGAAGTTTAACATGTAAGATGTAAATATTTTTTATATTATGACAAATGACTTACTACTGTAGGCAGTGACTCTGATACAAGACAGACATGTCTTCTCGTCAGAGAGGGCTCCCCACAAAAAGAAGACCACAACCGTAAAATTATCTGCTCATGAGCCTCAGATGACTGATTGACCTTCAGTCGGAATGTGACTTTGAGTTTGACTTTAACTTGAAATTACTTCACATTAGTTCTGAAGTTCCAAGTAAACAGCAGTGTGGCCAGAAGAAGAATTAGAAGACTTATTGTGTGACGTTAAATGTACTGTAATACATCGATACTGGGAGTGTGTAATTTAGTGAGACTTCTTTAGTTCTTGTGTTATAAACCCGTTGCCAGGAAACGGATAATGAAGACTAGTGGAAATAAGCTGAGAAAAGATTGTCGTGGAGTGCTTTGTAGTTCGATAATTAATCCATCAAACATAAAGAAAGAGAAGAGGAAATAAATAAATAATGAAAGAAACTTAATTAACGAAGGAAGGAATAAAGGTAAATAATATAAAAGTAGGAAGGAAGGAAAGAAAACCAATATGGAAAAATGTCAAAACACTTCCCGTAACGAATCCTTAACCAGAAGCCCAACACTTAGTTGTTTTTTTGACTCGTCACTGTTTCCACAACGTAATTATTCACAGCTGTAACTCGAGGCTGTCCTTTTCATCTGTATCCTGAGGACATGTCATACGCGATGACAAGGGACCAACTAAACACGAAATTTCAATTTTTAGACGGAGGATAAATGTGAATTTCGATAAATTCAAACCAAAACCAGTTCTCGAAATCACATCGTGTCAATATTGACTTTGACAAATGTCTCTTTTTAAAACATATTCCTTCATGTTATTTTTTTTTTGCGTCCCTTCTAAACTTTCAGCACATTTACGGCTTTAACGTACTGACGGAAACGCACACAGAAAGTGTTCATCCTTTACGCCTTCCTTCTTTCTCTTTATCCCGTTCACACTTTTATCTCGTTCCCCCTTTCTCCATTAGAACAGTGAATTAAGCGAAATCCATATCCTTGATGTGGTACAATTTCGAACACAAGGTTGCCACGTGTGGAAATTGGTGAAAACAGCTACAGAGCGAGAACAACAATACATACGAAGCCAGATAACGCATGCAGATATTTGTGAAACGTTTCCAATTTTATAAGCATATCGATTATGGTTTCTTGCAGTGAATGTAAGTGTTTGGCTATTTGCAGAGTATATCTTAATTTTTTCTTTATTTTCAAGCTGTTTATCAACCTATAAATATCATTTCAGCAAACTGTATTTTCCACTTTTCTTTCTCTCCTATTATCCAGGTCTCACTTCCCTGTGTCACTGATGGTATGCCATTGTTTCTTATATCTCTATTGAGGTGTCCTTTATAATTTCTCTCTTTAATGTAGAGCGCAATTGTTTCCATTCTTCAGGGGTAAAATACTGTGTGATTTATGTTTAAAGGTCTGAGTTTCCTCTAATATTACAGTTCAAGTTCTAATGTTCACCCGCAAATTTAAGGTATTGGTGCAAGGGTGTTGTAACTCCATTTTTTGCATACTTGAGATGAAGAAAAACTGGATAACTTACGCCAAATTTTATAAACTGCTTTCAGAGAGCCTAAAAGTGATCGGATTCATACATTTTTTACATGAAATTGTCATATTCAATAAATATAACTGTAACATTAAACAGTTTTCTAGTTTACGGAGCTACATCCGTTTCGAACCAAAGCGTCAGCAGTGACAAGATACTTACCGTTTTGTTTCCAAGGTTACGAACCCGGCAGTTTAGGTACGCTGTTTTACCAACCAGCGCTGTCACGTTTCTGGAAGCGGAGGGTTCGAAATACGGACCACGCAGACCGATGGCTGTGGGTAGTCCAAGGTCTTCATCTTCTCCCGCGATGGTGCGGCTACCGTGGTACACATCGTCTGGACGTATCGAGTCTGCGAAGAACCACATGTGAAGTTAGGCGTTGGATAGCTTCCCCCCACAGTAGAACTGTTCCCAGGGATATGGAAACTCCAAGGGAGCAGAAATGATTAATTCGATCACAGATTGATAAATTTAACTGAAATTGAGTTTCCACATAGCCGGCGTCTCAAAGATTCTACTGCCATTCTTCCAACATATCTCAGTATCATTTTAAAATAAACAGTAGTGATTAAATAAGTAACCATACCAAAATACTCGCCAGTGACTTTCTTACTCGTGTTCAGAACTATCATACTCTACTAATATTATCCGAGGTGAAGAGCAGGCCTAGATACACAGTCCCACTAAAATTGCGTGCACATTATGACAAGCGTATATTTTTACAGGTAAAGAAAGGTAAAGCTATCGCTGTAACAGCCGTTAGGCTCATAGGTCTGTGAGATGTCGAGGTTCCCATATTTTTCTAGACAATCGGTTCACAGATGGACGTGAGGTTGTCAGCCTCATGCGCCAGCATGCCTTTACCCCCCAGGAAGATTCCTGATACTCACCTCTGTTAGAGGCTGAGTCGACTCCAAGGCCATAGTGCGGCTGGAAGGAGAGGTCGTCTGAAACAATCCAATGACCTCATGGAGAATCGAACCCGTGACCTCCCGGCTTGCAGTATAGTGCCTCAAGTAACTGCGTTACCTGCGGCCTCCGTAGTCTAGAGGTAACGTTCCCACCTCGTGACTCGTAGTACGCGGGTTCAAATACCCGGCGGAGGTCATCGAATTTTTAAGGGCGGAAAAATTCAGGGAACAAGTCCTCCGGGAGGGACTTTAAGCCGTGGGTCCCGTCTCGTAGCTTTACGGCACGTAAAAGAACCTCATGTCCCCTAAGGAGGCCACTGAGCAAAATTACGGACGTTTCCCGCTCAACAGTATTCTCTAATACCTCTGGTAGATGGGGGAAGCATTATAGATACCTCTCAGCTAGTAGAGGCCGATCTCGCTGGCTGGGCGGGACTGATGGTAAGCACCAATACCGGTAGGATATATAGACTGGTAGAATATCATAGAGAGAAGCACAATGGACCAAGACAGGTCTAAGTGCATGGGGGAACCCACCCTCTCCAATAACTAACAAACAAACTAACTAACTAACTAACTAACTAACTAACTAACTGCGCTACCTCTGTTCTTACAGACTGATGTAAATAAGAACAACGAAACAAATTATGACTTAGAAAACAATATAAATCTGTAAATTGTATCCGTTAACATAACAATTCAGGGAGAAATAATAACAAATTCTATTTAAGTTAATGTTAATCACGACATGTCTCGACCCCTGTTGGGTTATCACCAGGCGTCTCTCTGTGGATTTAGATGGTGAATTTTTGTACACAGAGATATACTTGATGATGACCTAATAAGGGTCGCAACATGTCCTGGTTACATCTACGTGAATTGGTGTGTTGACGGATACAAATTACTGTTTTGAATGACACGCGACAAGGTGTAACACGTAAAGACATAGCTTTATATTTTGCGTGTTATTCAGATATGAATTCTGCGTGTAGCTTGGTATGTATCCAACCCGCGATTCAGCGTCTGCGAGTGCACTCACACTTACAGTGTGGGACTGTACCTCCAGCGTCCCGATAGTCGTGCCTTTATCTGCTGTACCGGCGTCAGTTTTCAGAGTACACTTGTTGTTCTTTGCGAGTGTATAACCTTCCATAATGAAATCTAATGGATTGAAGTAGGGTGAACAGGGAGGCCAGGAAATAATTTATTGTCTACCCATCTGCTTATTTGGAAACCACGCATTCAGCAGTAGTCGCACTTTGTTACAGAAATTTCGGGGTGAACTATCTTGCCGGAAGAATATAGTATCACGCCTCTCCGATGTGAAAACCAATATCTTTTGCAGCATCTAAATAAGATTTACTTGCGAACAGGAAGAAGTATATAAGATCTAAATTCTGTGACGATTGTACATTAGTTACATATTTTATTTTTGGACATTATCCATCGTCTTGTCTTTTATCTAAAACCTTCCTGTTTATTTTTCAAAACACAACGTTTCCGAGATTGGATTCTCTCTCCGTCTTCAGGTAAAACCTAATACTAAGTTGGGCCCAATCAATAAAGCTAGTCCCTGTCTCCGGACGAAGATAAACACGGCGGTTTTTAGATAAAGACAAGACTAGATAATGTCCAGAAGCGTAATATTAGTAGAATTGGAGTATGTCTATTACTTGCGTGCTTATGAGTGTACATCACATCTTCATCTTATGAGTAGCTGTCGCTTTGACGTCCTTGCTAGTCGTTGCGCGGATCTGAGCAACCCCCCCCCCCCCAAA